AGACGCTCTTGAGCAAGAGGTGACAACCTTGACCAGGAACATCCAGCAGACCCTAACTCCCCTTGCTAACCGGGTAACTGTCCACCAAGGCCGTGACGAGCTCTCTGGAGAGCTCATAGATCTTATTTCACTGAAGAATCGCACCCGGAGGGGGTGGCAACGCCTCCGAAGGGACGAGGATCGCCAACGAGTTCGGGAGCTCGAGGGTGCCATTAAGAATGGCATCAGCGAGCTTCGGAACCGTAAGTGGACACAAACCCTCCAGAACCTACGTCCTCAAGACAACTCTCTGTGGCGCCTTCAGTCCATAATGAAGCGGCTAGCTGTGCGTACCCCTGCCATTACTAGTATTGGTAGGGATTGCGTCACTGCCCAAGACAAGGCGGAAGCTCTGGCTTCGTTCATGGAGAGTATTCATTCCGGTCTCCCACCAAACTCCCCTGAACAGGAGGAAATCGAACGTACAGCGACAGCCTTTGCTACTCGGAAATACCCCATCCCCCAGCACTTGCTCGCTGAACTTATTGCCACGCCCGGCGAGATAACACGACTTATCCGCCGGCTCCCAAGCGAGAAGGCCCCCGGACCAGATGGCATCCCATATCGAGTCCTCAAAAATCTCCCGCGTAAAGTTATTGTACAGCTGGTACAAATAACAAACGCAATCCTCAAACTTCAGCATTTTCCCCTTCAATGGAAAAAGGCTGAGGTGGTTATGATCCCCAAACCTGGAAAAAACCATTCACTCCCATCCTCTTACCGCCCAATCTCCCTTCTAAATTCCTTTGCCAAGCTCGTGGAGAAGTTAATCCTGTCCAGGGTCAACAGGATTGTCGAAAACTTCTCCATCCTCCCAAACGAGCAGTTCGGTTTTCGCCCACGTCACAACACCACTCTTCTTGCAGCCAAAATCTGCTGCGACACTTTCCAAGCGTTCAACAGGCGCATGAACACGACACTTCTGCTCCTGGATATGGAGCGCGCCTTCGATAGGGTCTGGCATGCAGGCCTTATCTATAAATTACTCGCAACTTTCAATTTCCCACTACACATCATCTCCCTGATACAGTCATTCATCAGCGGCCGCTCTTTCTGCGTCAAACAAGAAGACGCCCGCTCACACTCCAAACCAATTCAGGCCGGAGTGCCGCAGGGGTCGGCACTCAGTCCACTGCTGTACTCACTCTACACAGCGGACATTCCAAAATTCCAGAATACAAATCTGGCGCTGTACGCAGATGACACCGCTGTTTACGCTCAATCCTTTTACACACAAGCAACAAAATTTCAGCTAGCCCATCACCTTGCAATCCTTCAACCTTATTACGATAAGTGGAAGCTTGGTGTTAATGGACAAAAGACTGAGCTTATATGCTTTCACAAAAAGCACACCAATAGCACCATGCCCACCCCACTTATCGTCAATAACATTCCAGTCACTCTGTCCCCAAAAGCCAAATACCTAGGTATCATCTTTGATCAGAGAATGAAATTCCACCACCACGTATCCCACGCTTTGGCTCGCACCTTCAGTGCGCAGCAGAAATTGTACCCACTCATCGGTCCTAACTCCCCCTTATCACCAAATAATAAGCTCTTAATTTACAAACAGGTCATAAGACCCATGCTCACCTATGGGGCCCCTGTCTGGAACATAATCTCACGCACACAGAGGAACCGCCTCCAACGATTCCAGAATCGTATTTTGAGGGGAGTGCTGTCTGAATCCAGGTACGCCAGAATAACGGACATGCACGAATAAACGTCCATTCCGCTTATATCTGACTACCTGGATGAAATCAGCGAAAAGTTTTACAGACATCAAATTCAAGGCTCCCCTCTAACCCGCAGAATCACTGCACAAAGATATGATCCAGACAACCCCATAGTGCACGGTCCGCCCTACAAGAATCTACCTATCTATTTTGAACCCCCATGAACACTTCCCTATCCTGTACCTGCTAACCACAACCCCAAGTAATAACCCAAACCAATGCACAGCTAAAATCCAATCTTCAAGACAGAATTAGACAAGTAATTTGGCGCTGGCGCCATATGCCTTAGCCTAAAGCAGGAGGCTCTGGCAATCCCAATCAAAGGTCTATTTCTATCATCTGTTCTTCGGAAAATTCCAACTGGTCAGCGATCTAGTGTGTTAACATCTCCTTTATCGCTGGCTATGAGGAAATGCAATTGTCTAATCAATCATCGTACAACCCCAATCTGACCACTACACTTAGGCGAAAACTGCCCAATTTAGCTGCAAATGCATGTCCCAATCCCGGTAGATTCTTGCACCCAATCCTCCCAACCCTCATTCTCTGACATCCCTTACAATCTTCCTTCACCTGCACCCAAACCATTACCTGGGACTCATCAGGTCTCAGGATTGGTCGGGGTGCAGGGCTTTCGACCCCATTTAATCCAAACCCGCGCTCACGCGCACAAATCCCTAGCTCACACTTTGCTGTTGAGGTAGCGTCCATGACGGACCACATCGCCCTACGGGGTACGGCTTTTTTGTTTTCTTTATATTATTAAATTAATTGGAAGTGGGGTTTTTTGGAACTTTTCCCCACAAAGAGGGCGCTGCGCGCTCGACATCACACATCCTGCATCAACCCCTTATTTTTTGAGCGGGCCAGTATAGTGGCCCAATGCGCGCCATCCGTGGTACTTACCAACGACTGAAAGGTCACATAATAACGTGAAAGGGCAACCAGGGAACGTTGAGAACAGATCCAATGGGAAAAGGGCGATGGCTTGTCGGCCAGAACACCGGCCAAGCTGGAAAAAGCGCCACATAGCTTGCCAGGCGCGCATGTGGCGCGCAGTGTGTTACTTTACTTTAAATTATCTTTAGGGGAGCCTCACTCCCCCACCCCCATATGTATGTGAAACTGAAAAATTTTGTAAATAAAGAGATTTGAGTTTGAGCTTGAGGAGGTCGCAGGTTCAAATCCTGCACAAACCCCAACTTTTTCAATTTTCCTTTGACTTTAATTTCCACAAATTTACTTTTTATGCTATAGTTAAATTGAGTTTTGGTACGTTTTTTGGTAAAGCATATATAGTTACACTTTGAGATATTTAAATCCATCGCATTTAGGTCACACCATTCAGCTAATCTATCCAGATCAGACTGAAGTTTCTGACAATCATCCAATGATGAAATGGAAATATAGCACTTCAAGTCGTCAGCAAAACATAAAAATTTAGAAAATTTGAAACATTTTGCGATGTCATTAACAAATAATATAAACAATAGAGGTCCCAAATGGGACCCCTGCGGGACTCCAGAGGGGTTGGGAAAATTTTTAGAGGTGAAATTATTTAGTTTGACAGCTTGATATCTATCTGTGAGGTACCTTGCCAGCCATTCCAACAAGGTCCCTTGAAGACCGGCCGCCTTCAGTTTTCCAAGTAATATCTCATCATTGACCCGGTCGAACGCCTTGGAGAAGTCAGTGTAGATAGCGTGAATCTCCCCTCCCTCATCCAAGACGTCTGACAGGAAATCAGCAAAGGAAATTAAGTTCAATTCTGTGGATCTTTTGCTGTAAAAGCCAAACTGTTCATCAATAATAGTCAAACTCAATACAGATCTTAAATAATCAGCAACAATTTTTTCAAAAAGTTTCGGAATACAGCTTAGGCTACATATAGGTCTATAGTTGCAGATATCTGCTTTATTTCCTGTTTTAAAAATGGGTTTAAGGTAGCTTAACTTCCAGAAGTCTGGAAATATGCCCGAAGAAAGTGATTTATTGAAAATGATGAAAAATGGACGAGCCAGAGGAAAGCTACAAGTTTTCAAAACCACGGGCGGAATACCATCAGGCCCAGGGCCCTTATTTATGTCGATCTTAGTCATTTCCTCATAAATAGTTGATATGGGTATTGTATAGTCAGATAAACAGATATGATTGAATGAGGCAACATTTTGCTGAGCAACCGTTTTTTTAGTGTGACGGAACTAGGCCCCTTTTTGGACTTTAGTTATTACCGCACCAGGGTTGTCAAAAGTTTTTACTTTGACTGACTGTAAAAATTAACCAATAGGTGTTGGATCATTTAAGCCTTGTATTGGGTTAGGGGTGCCTTGATTCTCATTTATACAAATAAAACGCTGAAACTGAATTAGTTTTATTTATTAATTAAATTGATAACTATTCTATTTCAGCGTTTCATTTGTATAAATGAGAATCAAAGCACCCCTAACCCAATACAAGGCTTAAATGATCCAACACCTATTGGTTAATTTTTACAGTCAGTCAAAGTAAAAACTTTTGACAATCCTGGTGCGGTAATAATAAAGTCCAAAAAGGGGCAATAGCTAGTTCCGTCACACGTTTAGTTTACCAAAAATTATGAATCTCTATGATAGGGTTTGTTCTCGGGTTTGTTTCAGAAATTGAGAAGAAGTGAAAAAAAGGTTAGTATTTTTATATTTTCTCCTCAAATATCTTGGAAATAAATCCAAAAGGTTTCAGCAGGACCAATGTTCATTAGGAACATTTACTTCTTTTTAGACTTTAGATGATAAAATATTCACTCCGCAAGTTTATAGTTTCGTATATTTTGGATCCACATTAATAAGTATTCTCAGTTGTATGTGTTTCCAGCATACTCATCCCAGGTGATACGATACAAGGTTCAGATGGTTGCCAATTAGTTGTTCATGTCTGGAAATAGTTTTTACATTTCCTTATTTTTTTGGCAAATGTATTGAAACCCATGTGCTTCTTTGAAGCCAGATAAATTCTTAGATTTAAATAGAACTGCGCACTTGCAAATGTTTATTGTAGGAAAATATCAAAACATTCAGAAATACTTTTATGTATCCATCTCTGTCTTACATATGAGCTCAGTAATCTGAAGGTAAGAACGTATGTCGAGACTAGAAATTATTTGAAAAAAATTGTAGAATGCTGGAAATTTCTAATACTTTTTTTTGCAAATTAAAATACGATGGAAAATGCGTTAAAGTGAAAATTTACCTCCAAATCCCAAAAATACACGTCTCCCTTTTCGGTTCCAGCCAAGAGCAGATCGCAATAATCTGGATTTCGTTCGGGAAAACAGAGAGCGTGCACGTTTCCCATGTTCTCCTTGAAACAGAAAAGCGGATCGGGTGGTAGGATGCCGATTCCCGTCGTCATTTTGGCTGGATTTTCCGAAAATAATTGAAATTAATACAGGAAAAGAAAAGTACGGTTTAAATTAAGCAGCGGCCATCGAGGGACTAATGCATTGTGGGTAATTTATGGAAATGTCACTTTGACATTGAAATTATGGGTATTTTTCAGAATTCACCATAAGGATTTTTTAGCGACTAACCGTATGTAACCGTGTTATAAACGGTAACTGAAATTAGGCTTTTTCGGAAACGCTTATCCGATCAACCCCATCAGCAGCTGTTTGTTTTTTGTCTTTCTTGAATGAACACGATTGAAAAAAGACATAAGTACATCAGCTGCATAGAGATCAGCTGGTGATCCAGTTATTAAAATCAGCGTTTCCGAAAAGGCCTAATTTCAGTTACCGTTTATAACACGGTTACAAACGGTTAGTCGCTAAAAAATCCTTCATATGATTACGGTGCAAACAACCGGTGGATGTCAAAAATTCCGGTGGCTTAAGCCTAGTACTCATAACTGTGAAATTCGCTCTTTTTTGACATTGTTTAGACAATTTGACGTTTTCTGCGTGAATCAAACGTCAAATTGTCGAAGCAATGTCAAAAAAAGCGAATTTCGCAGTTATGAGTAAAGTCTGTTTTTTTTTTAAAGAAAATTCCCCAAGTCAAAAATTTAGTAACTATGTTGGCAACACACAAGGAGAATAAACTTTCTAAGGAGTGCTTATCGGCCCCTTTTTGGGTAATCGACGCCATATTGGTTTTCAAATGTTTCCAACCACTGCTGACGTCATAACTAAGTCGCCAGCTGTTTGCGCCAGCGGTTTTATAAATTTATAAATTTGTCATGAAAAATATATTATTTTGATTCTGATTAACCATTATAGCGCGTAAAGGTACCCTATGACGGAACCAATAAACATCAAGGTCAAAAGTGAGATCTGAGCGCGATATTTCGATATTTGGCTAGCTTTCGTCATTCCGCCTATTTACACGTTTTCAGCATGTATGATTTAATGGAGCCCTAGGAGAATTACGCGGCGTTTTGTTTACATTTCTTTATGTAAGTATAATAACTATAAGATAATTTATTCTATACTATTTAATTGTTTTTAGGGTTTTCTCATATTATTATAAAAACATATTCCTATTCGAGCATAAATTGATCGTTTGTTTATGTATTATATTCTTGTAAACATTACTGTCCCATATGGCATATGGGCCTGGGCAGAAGCTAACATTTTTAGCTGTACATTTTGTTTTAGTGGAATTAGCCATCAGGAAGTTTTGGATACTGCTTATGATAATGAAAATGTTGATGGCATATTATTGAGCCCACACAGAAAGCAAAGAGCTCACTGACTAAGATTCAGCAGATGAGGAATGTGGTTTAGCTGACCTATATACTAGGCAACATTGTGCTAGTGCAAAAATTGTTTATTCGAATGGGAAATATATCACAGGTAGAGCAGAATTAACAATTTTTTGAGAAATCATACAATTTTAACTTTATTTTTATTTTCAGACATACCCGAAGAAATATAAAGTACCACCTTGCGCTACAGAAGAATATGCTTCGGGCTGCAGCAAGTGATTTTTGAGTCAATAATGATATAAGGTCTTATGGACTGCATCATCATTCAAACACTTTTCCTGAACGTAAAAAAAACGATGTGGTGGTCAAAACTGTAGCAGCCGAGGAAGAACAATGTGCTGTAAATGCAATATCGACTTATTTATTCACTGTTCTTGAAAGTTTCACACTGGGTAATAATTTTCACCCATAATGCTGCTCGTGATGATGCAGGCCAAAATTAATTATAATCTATTTCGTTTACCTGATCCGAAATGATTATATCCATACAACAGCCTAACCGGATCTTTTTCTTATATTTTTGTAAACTTTCTACAATAGGACATTGCCAAAAGGGTCTAAAGGCAGGTATGGTATCTCCCTTATAATGTCTGTATTTGAATAACTTGTATATGTAATAAATAAATAAATATTTTATAAATAACTCTTTATTTTTATTTATTAATAGGTGAAAATTAAATTAACAAAGTCAAATAACTTGACCACTAATCTGATTTTTACTCGAACTACCTATAACAATATAATACTGGTAATTAGGATTCAATAAAAACTTTACACGTTGTGCTGTTTGCTCGGCCATTTGTATGTCTATCTGAGAAGAGTTTAATAATTGATTAAAAGTATAACTACATTCATTACTTGTATAGTCTCAATAGAATCTTGATTTCTTTTTCTTTTGGCAAGTTTTTCAGCACCCATGGAATCTATTTTTTGGCTCGGTTTATGGATCACTATAGAAGAGGGCAAATTCTGGGATGGTGATGGTACAACTGTTTTTTTCAATATCCGACCTCTACCTGTACCTCTAAGACCTGTACTCTCACCTGTAAATAAAAAAAACAGTCAATATTTTCAAACAAAACATTTTAAAAATAGATAGTACTTGATCAATGCCTAGAAGCAGGCCTAATAAAATGAAGCTAGGGCACAAAACTACCCATTATGCTTGTTTACCTTAACACAAAATTCTTGCTTGAGATGCAGAGAATACACTTTCATGAATTTGGTGACTGGTTTGCCAATACGAAGTTTTAAAATCCAGTAGGCTTTTCTTCTCGACACTAACTCTTTTTCCATTTTCGATTCCAAATAAACCTGTGTGGCCTGTTTCAAGGGGAAATATGTAGAAACTCAATCCTTTGTCAGCTTTTTTTTTTTAGCCCAAGACTTGCACTGAGGAACACAACAGTAATGATTAAAAGTCATGATTATATGTATCTGATAAAATTTTATAATTTTAGACTTTAATTATACTAGAAACTATATAGTTTCATAATTTCCAGCCAGCAGCCAGATCATAACATAACCTGTGGTGTGGTGCAAACAGCCTACGTCAAGGCGAAAAACGCCATGATGCTTACGTCACAACTGCTTTTTTGGCTAGGCGGGGTAGGGGGGGATTTGTTACACACAGGCCTTATGAGGATAAGCCATCCTTAGTAGTATGTATCATCCTTGGGCAACACAAGCCTTTTCTACATAAAAATTTGAAAGCATTACATCTTTTCACGTCGCTCCGGTTTAAACTAACCAGGTTACAAAACGGTTAGAAGCGGTATGTCAAGTGATGACATTACTGAAAATGCCACGAATGGTTAGAAAAATCTTATTTTAAATTCGATATGAGGTTGGGTTGGTCAGTGCCGTTAATTCTGACCCCTGACCTACCTATTATATCTACTATGGATGGACAAAACTATCTTAAATGTGAGCAATTTACACTTAATTAAATGTGAAGAAATATGGGAAGCAAGTTTTGAAGTTTTTTTTTCAAAATTGTGGAATTATCGAGTATTTCATTCTTTTTTATTACAGCAAGCTAAAAAGTGAAAAGCAGACAGTTTAATTTCTTTTCGTTCAATGCTTTAGATGTGGACCATGGGTGGATAGACTACTAGAACCAGTTTATCTAAAGTTTATAAGTTCTCGTTACCTACAGTCTACAACAGCCTATCCAGTAGGTAAACTGGGATTGTCTCGTCTCTGGTACATATTTTGAGTATAATACAGGGTGATTTACGTAGTCCGTGCATCAGCAGGTAGATTAGGGCCGGTTTCCCAATAGCAAAGATTATAGCAAGGCATCCCCTGGTTAAGCATAACTCCAGGGTAAACATAGCAACTGCAACTGCACACGCTTACCCTGCAAACTGAAACTGAACAATTTCTAATGCACGGGCCTCGTAAATCAGGCTATATACAAAGAAAAACGGCTTTCGGGCTTCAAATTCATAAAATATAATATTATATACAAAACACAACTTTTTATTTACTTTTTACACTTTCTGAACTTTCCCGCTCTCCGTTGTTTATATTTTTTATTTGTCACTCATTTGTAAAACGTCACTTATCAAGTCAAAACATAACCAGCGAAAATTGATTTTTACAAGCTACTGGCTCTACTGACTTGTAAAATTGACAGCTAAACTGTAAAAACTTTTTATTTACAATCATACATGTAATGTTGACTTTACTGACTTTTAAAAAGTTCGAAAATGTCACTTTTTTGACTTTTACTTTCGGCCCACGGGTCGAAAGTTTACTTTCGACCCATGGGCCGAAAGTAAATGAAATTTTTAAAATTTATTGTATTTTTTGACTTTTACTTTCGGCCCACGGGTCGAAAGTAAACTTTCGACCCGTGGGCCGAAAGGAAATGAAATTGTCAATTATTGTATTTTTTAGTTTTAATTCAAATAAAAATTTCAAAATTCGAATGATTGTAAATAAAATAGTATACATACCTCGGTGAAAAGTTTCATTACTGTCTCGAGATTTTAGTTAGACCTCGGCTGTGCCTCGGTCTAACTAAAATCTCTCGACAGTAATGAAACACTTTCCACCTCGGTATGTAATATACTATTACAAGTCAGTAGAATTATTTATTTTTGAAAAATCGGTTTTATCACAAGAATAATTGCTTGTAGGTACCTTCTGGGAGACTTTTCTGGTGATAAACTGTTGGCTACGACTGAGGCTTCATTAATAATATCTTGTAATAAATTCATTTCTGGAAAAAAATTGCAAAATGGAAATCTGTCAAAAAACCTATTTATAACTAGAAACAACGTCTTAACAACGTATCATTCTCATAGTTATACCAACTACCAAAACTTCTGTGAGAAAAAATCAAGGAAAAACATATAAATTTCAAATTTTTGTTATGTATTGATTTTTTATTTGTCCCTATATATATTGAATAGGGCCTTAAATGTAATTAAGACAACACCAAGACACATATTATCTTTTTTTGTTTTTTAGTAATCACTTTCATGGTTTTCAAAGATTAGTGTTTGAAATTCGAAGCATTTAAATCGAATTCAAATTGATTACAAACAACAACACATAGGTAACCTTAACCTGTTAAATAAAACGCGAATTTCGCGCTTATGGAGACATGGGAATAATTTGCTCGGAAATAGCCACCAAAAAATGACACTTAAAAAATTCGCTTTCCGCGATTTCGCGTCTATGGAGACTAGGCTTTATACAGCGTTCAACATCTCTGTTCGCTCGCTGGTAACGTGATGACGGCTCCGCTCAGCACTCTCTGCTCTTTGAGCAAAATACCGAAC